TTCCTACTACAAGCTTATGATGGGCTTTATGGACTTTGAATTATTTGAATAGGTTCCTAACAATACCATTATTGGGAGGATGAAAGAAATGACCCGTTAGTCTTTTGGATTTTAAAAGTCATTTTACCTTTTCACTGGATACTAGTCTCTTTCTTTCTTCTCTTTTCCATTTTTTTTAGCTTCTAAACTTCCATGCATCATCATATATATTCTGAAATACTTTGGTTGAATTTGTTGAGGACCTTGTGAAAGTTGGTATTGGGTTGTTGAAAATTTGTGGATTAGTGGGATGGAACCTCATGTCACGGATATCAAACAAGAATTCCTGCTGAAGATTCTGAATCAATGTTCTTTAGGATATTGAGGTGCGGGGGAAGAGATAAAGAAAAACCTCATGTCTTTAGGATCTTCAAAAAGGAATGATGAGAAGTACAAATTCAATGTGACATTACTATTGATAGGATTGTTTTCCGGAAATGATTTTGAGTACATAATCTGCTTTCGCTAGATTTACCTTTGAGGATGTTTACTTGATGTCTGCTACGGTATTTTTGTCATTTGCCCAATGTATGGCTTTATGGTATGAAATGCAGATTCTAAATTGGATGATATTCTTGATTTAGGTTTCATCCTGCTTGTATAGAGATGACTGTAGAAGAAGCTAAGAAACTTGACCACTTCTTTTGTGAAAGTTGTTCTTCAGAGGGTCAAAAGAAGTTGCAGAATTCACAGTCTACATCTAGACTCGCAGAGACAAAGGTATTTGTGAAGCTGCAGAATATGAATGCTTTTGGTCAATGTGATTTTGGTCAAAGTGAATTGAATAATATAATTCCATTTTGTGATGTTTTAAACTACCCTATGTTTTATTAAGCTTGGAGGGGTGCGGATTCAGCATCATAAGCCTATCTTAAGCCTAGGGTTTAAGTGGAGGGTTTAGGAAACCTGGTTTTGAAAAATCCTTTTTCAGGTATAGGTGTAGGGAGCCTGAGTTTAGAAATTGTGTGGGAGGCTTGAATAGTGAGTTATTGTTCATGCTCGATGGTTTCTCTAATTAAACCCAAGTTTGACAACTCCTCCTTAAATATAGGTTGACTTAGGAAGCCAACCTCAGTTTAAGCCCGACTCATGCCCCAATCGCCCCCTAAGGGAGCAGGAGACATGCACATACTCTTTAGTCTTTAGGTATTTCTTACTCATTTGGGTGTTTGAGTAAGCATTATGGGGAACGATGAGAGTCAAATTAGCATGAAGAAGTCATATTGCTTATTTATAAGGAAACTGACTTGTAGATAGTCAAACTACTAAACATTGAAGTATAACTAGTAGTTCTGGCAATAATAATGCATAAGAGTTAGGTTTCCCGATTCAAGTGCTCTTTCATCTTGGTTAGCTTCTACCGGGATTATATCGTGGCTAGTGATAATTTCAAGTACATTAGATGATGAAGTGGCTGTTATTTTCCCACTAACTTTGGGAACACAGTCGCCATTATTATGAATAATATGCTCTGATGTTGTTTCAGGTGGACACGAAACGACGCCGGAGGTGACAATACTGTAAATAAACAAAATACTGTGACTTAGAGTCGGTCGTTAAGAACCAGGGCTTCTAACTTTCTAATGAGTTGGAACAAGTGCATAGATGTGTAGGATGATCATGTAAATAGTAGCTCTAGTGTGCCAAAATTCATTGCAGGTAGAGGAGACTGAGAGACTGGTTTGAAATGTATTTTGAACTTACTTTTTATTTGAATGGAGAAAACCAGACAGGCCAAAACAAACCCCTTTCTTCTGTGAAGATTGCACTCCTTAAACTTATAAACTGTTTGGGAATCCAGTTTTCTCATCATTCTTAGCTGATGTATAGGTGAAATATCTGTCATGGGCAGTGTAGGATAAGAGATCTTTATGTAATTATTTTGTTGCAACTTAATTGGACTAAGCTTCATTAGACTATTGGCTACTCTGTTGTCCCATCCCATCCCCATTCAAGAAATTTAAATTGCATTCATTTCTTTTTCTGAATGAACTCTGCACTCACAAGTATCTAATAGAATAGAGAGCAAACGGTTATCCTTTGAGATTAGTGTACATCAATAAATTTATTGGTTTTAGTTTTTCAGAACCCTCTATTGGCCTATTTTCCTAGCTCCTAGTCTCCTCTTGCCTAGTCGAACTTGAACTTGAACTTGAAATTTATTATATATTATATATTATTTATTAGGTTACAAAACACAACACATTTGGTCCTTGTACTTTTACCAATTTAACAATTTAATTCATGAACTTTAGTTTGTAATGATTTAGTCCATGTACTTTCATTAAAGTAATAATTTAGTTCTTGAACTTTAGTTTGTAATGATTTAGTTTTGTAGTTTAAAATTTGTAACAATTTAATCTCTATCATAACAAAATTTATTAAAATTAAGTGTTAAATTTTGTCATATAATAATTTAATCTTTTTAATTTATAAATATATTTGGTCCCTTTTTAATTTGTCAATCTAGATATATATAAGAAAATTAACAAAAAAAAAAAATTTCAAGACAAGGACTAAATTGTAATCAACTTTAAATTACAATGACTAAATGTTTACGAATTTGAAAGTTTATTTTTGCGAAAATATAGGGACCAAAAGTATTGTTTAACCTATTTATTATTTTGTTCTTTTTATTTGAACTCTAATGTTTTTTTAAATTTTATAAAAAATAAATTAATTAAATTTCTACTCAATTTTTTTTTAATAGGATATTTTGTGAGTTGGAGTAGGCAAATGGATTTTTAATGTTGTATATCACCAATTTTTAATAGCATTGTTAGGTAATATGACAACTTGATTCTTTTTTTTTTTTTTCTTTCCTTGAGTGCGTATATTTTACAAACCAAATTACATATTTAGCTCACTCAAACTCTTCCATGGAATTCTCTTTAAATATACTTCACTGCTTAGGGAGAACGTTTTCATAATATGACAAAAAAGAAAGATAATATAATATCAACAAAATATCACTAATATAAATATAATACTAAAATTAATAAACTCATACTTATTTAAAAGAAATGAAATTGTTTGTTATGAAATTTTTTATTTTTTATTTTTATAAATTTCCAAAAATATTCAAACATCTAACATTTCGAAAACTCAACATTATCTATCGACATAAGCATTTAAAACTTGGTTTTATGGTGCAAAGGAATAAGCTAGCTACCTGTTAACCTTTCTGGGCTAGCAAATTATATTCAAGCAAAGCCAAAGGTTCGACACAAAATTGTATTATGGTTGACTTGCTTTCAAAATATGAAATAAATGAGGCAGAAAATAAGATGTTCTTTCCCTTTTAGTGGTAAGCTACTGATGAAAGCAAGACCTCAACATCTGATCATGGCTGAGTATTATTTGGTGGTAAAGCTACTAAAATAGCGCCTTCTCGCCGAATAGTTTTCAATCTTGCCGACTCAATGGCTCGTCAACTGGGTACCAGTATCTGTTGAAAAACCAAAGAGAATCAGCTTCGACCGCGTACCCATCTTGATTCCTATTCCAACTGAAATGTGCATGAGTTCTGTTCTTTATATCGAATATGCCATGGCCAAAGCTTGCTTCGCGATAAGCCGAGTACTCGGGCTGTGGCTCTGTCATGCTGCATTCACAAAACAAATGAACTTATGGTTTACCATATCAAGAAGCAGGAAAACAACTTGCACCATGAATCCATGTCCATGAGATATTGAAGTTACTTGGTTGCTAGGCCTTCAAGGTTTCCTCCATCACCTATTGTTATGTATACAGGTGCTGATTGATCTTTCACAGGAACGCAACGGCCATTGATGATATTGTAAGCAATATTTGAAATCCGTTCCTGTATTTTGCATAAGATCATCGATTCATTGTCCCTTGTTACCAATAGGAAACGCAAATCTCACAACGTATGAAGAAACTTGCTAGGATGAACTTGTTGTCTAGAAGGGAGAGATTTGAAATGATTTCCATAAAACCAAACAAAAAGGTAGGGACTTGGTTCAAATACAAAATTCTAACTCCAAAAACATGAACAGATCCTCTAAGTTTTTCTCATTTTGGACTTCACAGATTATAACAAGCAATGATTGGAGGATTGCAATCAGAATTGAAGGTTAAGAGAGCACTTACAGATCTTTCATAGGCATGGACATGGCCAGCAAAGACAACATCAACTTTGTAATGTACAAACCACGACTCATACATCACTCGCATAGTCTCTCCTTCCATGTAATGATAGTTGTAGCTGTTGTACCATGGGGAGTGCATCAGAACAATCAACCATGGTGTTTCACTTCTGTTGACTTTCGGTAGCTCCTCGTTGAGCCATTCGTATTGAGGAGTGTATTTACCTAGAAAATCATGAAAACGAATTTGAAGGCATAGAGCAATATCATTTTATTTTTATATCCGTGTGTCCAGGCCAGCTTGCACGCACCTCGACCCTACTATTTGGTTGACAAGGAAACTCGTAGGATATTAAATCATAGGTAGGTGGCCACCATGGTTTGAACTCGTATAGATCACATATCACTACCAACTCTATCAGTCCAGGGAGGTGACTAAAACATAAAAGAAATACAGTTTTCAAGGCCATTTGTTGATAAATATAACATACTCAGTTTTTCAAGTTTCATCATGTGTTCTTCATTAGTTTTTAAACAAAATAAAAATACATTTGAGTTGCTACTCATCGTTTAGTTCGATAACCAATTCTGGTCTACTATTCTCTCTTTAAAAGAAAAAAAAAGCAGAAATAGAAGTTTCACTTGCAAATACTGTTTCAATACCTCAAGAGGTAGAAATCAAAATAAAATGCGAAGATGTTTGTGTGAAACAATAATTGAAGAACAATTTCTAGAACCTATACAATATTGGGAATAATTCATGAGAAAGAAATATAAACCAATAATAGAGAATGCTATCAAGCAAACTTCTTTCCTAAATGATGTTTCAATAAAAATTAACATTGGAGAATCTTCTCTGAATCATGCAGAATGCTGATAAAAATATAGGAAGCCTTTACCATAAGCTGAATATGAAGCCAAGACTATGATGTATGCTGGACCTCTCTTGATTGAGTACCAAAAAGGAGCTGTGCTGCCAGATGCTTTATAAGGAACGTGATAACGGTGAGTATATGGCTTGAAAGGCTCGGTCTCGCCCTGCAAATATTAATGCCCGTCATTAAGTCATATATATACTTCTTTTTGGCTAGAGAACAAGAGAGCTATTTTCCATATTGCTACCATTTGAGTCATTTGGAAAACTTACAATTTCAGGGACAAAATCGAGTTCATGATTCCCTGCAGTCCATATCCAAGGCTGATAGGCCACGCTTCTCTCCGTGAATCTTCCCCATGTATCCCACCTTACATTGTCATGGAATGGATAGTTATCAGCATAAGAGAGATCCCCCACAAACAGCACTGTTTTTCCTTTATGCGGGTTTCGTTCGTAATGCGTCAGCGTCCTGTTTGAATCAAAACTCTGGCCGAGATCCCCTGCAAACGACGTTAAACAACAAGAAATCAAGCAAACAAAATCAAAATGACCAACTATGTGCAGGAGTTAAATAAGGACCCAGCAACAGCTATTCGAGAATTCTGGTGGAAAGGAGAAAATTAGCAAGTTTGTAGGAAAAACAATCAGACAACTACGGTATGAAAAGTTATCCCACCTATGACACCAAATGTATAGGGGACATCGGGACCGACTTCTGGAGGAGTGAAAAACCAGAATGTTCTTGGTGAGTACTCAATTCCCACTTCATAGTAGTATTTGGTGTTGTACTGCCAAAAGGTAAATAATTTTCCTTTTTAAGTTAAAGAATTCAGAATTCCAATCATAGAAGAGCAAAGAGTTGCCTTCAGATCAAATTGTCTATACCTCTAAGTTTTCAATGGTGCAGTGATGAATGTAGCCAGAAGTGTAATTGTAGAACTTATAAGTATATACTTCTCCAATGGCCTCTTTCTTTTGCTTGCTATTCTCACTCCAATATAATACTTTCTTTGATCCTGGTTCATTTGGAGTGACCCATGAAACAATCACTGCCTTCCCTTCATGATCTCCTTGTGTAATATGGACCTATTACATTCAAAACATCTAAAAATTGTAGCCGCACATGCAGTCATTGCTTCTTCAAAGAAAATCAAACTTATACTCAAGGAAAAATGACAATCAAGACCAACTTCAAATGAAATTGGGTGAATAGGTGTTCATATGAGCTAACTAATAAGCAATACTATTAAGAATATTAACAAAAGATTAAAAACATCATAACTTCTCCGCTAAAACTTTTCGGTTCAATGATAACTTTAACATAGTATCAGAGCAAAAGACCCCATGTTTAAATTTATGCAACATCAATTCCTTCCCGATTAATATTCATAGTTGCTGGTTGGAGACGATTAAATATATAGTAATCAATCTGTTTGCATTTTTGAGTTCTACGGTAGTTTAACAAACGAGATTATCCTAGAAAGAGCAAATGATGAAGAATAAGAGACAGAAAATTGAGGAGAGAGAGACCTGCTGAGGAGCATTGAAACCAGGAGGCAGTGCAAAGACATCACTGTCAAGAGGCATATCCACAGTTTTCTCAATCTTCCTCAGAAACCGGCTTGTTTTACCTCCATTACACACCTCCACTCCATTGAGAACCAGAACTAGAACCGCAATAAACACAGCAACCGAAGAAGAAGAAAACCCCACAACACTCATCTTCACAACTATTCTAATTTCTAATGGCGAATTCCCAAATCTCGAAAACTCGAATACTCTCCACTCTCCTCCTCTTCTATATTACCAAGAAATCCGCGTAAAAATCAGTTAAAGAAAAGAAAAACCAACAGAAAAATTCCAAAGATATATAAGTCAATGCTGAATCGTACCCCCACAACGAAGTCCACTCTCAGATCGCGTCACGCGATTACTGAAGAAAGCTCACATGGCGGAGAATCGAGTGACCCATGGCGGCATATTCCCCATTTGACTTCTGGGGCGCCCATTTTTCCAAGGAATCGATCGGAGAAAAGGGAATTTCTTTTCATTTCCATCATTGTTTTAACTTTTCGTCTGTTCTTACATCTCCATCTCAGAGCCGGTCGCCATGCCCCCTTGATCGTATAAACAAATATGGATAATGAAAGGCTTGAAAAATTAAAAATTATTTGATAGATGAATTTGAAGCAGATATGAGATACCTTTTTAACCTTTTGAAGATTGACATCACTGTCGCGATTGTTCCCCAAAGCATGCATATGCATATGGGGGAGAATCTAATGCCATAGTTTATTGAAAGTTTATTGAATTTTGAGTTTTAAGAAAGCATTAAACTAATTGGGATTGTTTAGAAACTTCAACTTTAATGTTCTTTAAACTTTTTCATTTATTTTAATCTCTAAGTTTTTATTACACTATGTCAGCAATAACTCAACATCAAAGTACTCAAAAAAATGGCTAAAAAAAGTATTAAAAAAAACAATATGAGTCTACCTCAACGAGTGATAAAAAATTTAAATTTGAATTTCAACTCCACCATGTTGTACTAAAAAAATAAATAGATAAAATAACCCAACGTCAAGGACAAATATTTTTTTTTAATGAATTTTAATATATAAAATAGAAGTGTCTAAGTCTTAATTAGAAATGTCTATGGCTACTTAAGAAATAAATAAATCAAAGAAATGTCTATGAGTACTAAAAAATAGAAATGTCTATAGATATTTATGAAAAAAATCCTAATAAATATTTAAATATGTTGTTGAGAATGAAAACCGAGCAGGAAAGGTAGGAAGCTCATAGGCCACACATGGYAGTGATAGTCAAATCCCCACGGACATACAACAAACAGAGAAAGTAACACTGACTTTAGTAGGGCATACAGACAGATATGCAATACACCTGCTGCAAAACATCTACATTGGGTTAGGGTGGCAAGCGACGATGATGCTACCACGCATCGAGAATGTCCCTTAACGATCCGCCAGAGTTCAGATTAGCTCCATCATACCTCGGTTCTTTAGTCGGCTCCAACACCTATAAAATAAACGAGATAACACGACCACATGGTAAGTGAAAAATTTGTCACGAAATACTAAGGTGCTTACTGTTTCTCTCCTCTCTTACGATTACTAATTTGATCCTAGGAACACATTAGATGAGCCACTGCACCGATGTCGAGATTTGTTGCTGCATGTTTAACTAGTTCAACGGTTTCTAATCAAAGGACACGTGGTCTAGCCAGATTTCAACATCAACCAATGTGATAAATATGTTTTTTCTACCATTTTTATTTACTTTCATGGTCTTTATTAATTAATTATTTATTAATTATACTTTTTTTTTTGGCTGGTGAACTTTGGAAAGTGATAAAAAAAATACCATTGACCACATTGCAAAACTTTATTTTATAAAAACTTTTTCCCCTTTTTTTAAATGCTACTTTATGAAAATGAAAATGATTACCGAGCATCTCCCAAAGATTCCTTTTGTTTGTGATAAAGGAATCATTCTTTTTGTGGATTATTATTAAATTATTTGTATTTTAGTCATATTACGTAGAAGCAATAAAAAATTATTGTTCTTATTAGTTAATTTTTTTTTCTTCTTTAGTCTAGTTCATTTTTTTTTTTAAATAAATTTTTTAGTCTAGTTCTTAAGCACGTGCGTAATGATTATTCTATGAAGTTTTAAAACTAAAGTATTAAATAGTCAAAAAAAAATATGTGACAACCACTTTAATGGTTAATTAAAGATAAGGTTGATTTTTTTATTGTTTCCCTTTCCTCTTTTTAATGAATAAAAATATACTTGCATTGGGTAACTATTCCGTATTTCTTATCTTTTATTTCTTTATTTAAAAAATGATGTTGGGTAACCTTTCTTCTTTTTGGTTCTCTAATATTTTAATTTTTTTTATATAAAATTTAATTTAATTAAATATTAAAAAAGTTATGTTATATTTATTTTTTAATATTTATTATGAATTTTATAAGTATAAGATAATGTTTTAATTTATGTTTTTTAAAAAACTAAAATAAAAATAAGAAAAAAAATTGATTTTGTTGTTTCAAAATTTCTCCACAATTTTAAAATTTGTAGTTATAAATAGCTTATATTTTTTAAAAATTAGAAATAAAAAATAAGAAGCAACATTACTAAATTGGCTCTAGACATCCTTAAAATCCATGTTCGAGAAAAATAAATTTTGGATTGAGTAACCCTCGAAATACTCAAAATAGGCCTATTGTCTCCTAACTTGCCTCGGCTAAGCTGAGCTTATAGCTAAGACATCTATTTCTAATCAAAAGTCATGGATTTTAATCTTTACCGTCATCTCTGATATTAAAAAAAAAATGTTAAATAAAAATCAAATACTCCAGGATCTTTAACTTTCAAAATGTCTAATTTTTTATTCTTAAATTTCTAAGGTTATTATATTTTAGTCTCTAAGCTAGCTTTCGAAATATGTGAGGTTGGAGATTTGAACTTTTGAGCTCATAATTGAATACATGAGTCTTAACCCACCGAACTATGCTTTGGTTAGCGATTAAGACATTATTAAATTCATTATAGATTTGAATCCTATAGGTACACACAAAAATAAAATTAATAATTAAAAAAAATGAAATCGTAATAGATAATAAAAATCTTTTATGTATTTCAAAATATGTCATATGTTTTTCAAATTTTCAAATATACTAAAAAGTTTTCACTTATATAATAGTATATCAGATACTCATATCATTAGTATATTATAGTATATCAGACATTCCTGTCAGTAATATATTAAATGTATATTACATACATATTGCACAAACACTCATATTAGTAATATATCAGATGTATATCACATACATATTGCAAATATTTTAGACATTCGTATCAGTAGTATATTAAATATATATCACATACATATATTATTAGTTAGATATATTACAAATATATTACAGATATATATCATTTGGGTAAAATAATCATTTTAAAATTAGACTTTTGTTTTTTTTTTAAAGTGCTATATTTTAAAAAAGTATATATCGTTACTATTTTATTAATTTTACTAAATATTTTTGTCATATTTACCACCGGTTGTCTAAAAAAAATAACTTATCATAAATATGAGGGGACAAATCCTATATTTAATTAGTGGGGAAAATTGTAATCTTATCGAGGGAACTCCCACCACACTGATTAACGAACTAACTGAAAATGGCGCGAAATGAGGCCAATCCAGCCGTCAAGTTTCAGCGGGACCCACAGATCTTCTAAATCTACGGTCAGTATTTGCAGAGTTCATAATAACGGACAGTTTTGAAATTCAAATGCAGCGTAGAACGGTATTTAAAAATTTACGAAAACCAAAGCACCGGAGAGCCACCGTGAAGCCCAATGTATTTTTTAAAACATGGATCGGAAATTTTCCTTATACGCCGTCGTCGTCACCGTCCTTTGGTCATCGGAATCTTTGGCCGAGACGCATTCCCGCACGGCGGGGATCCTCTGACCCGTCAGGTCGTCGACATGTCTAAAAAAAAAACATTCAACGACGAAATATTTTTATTTTCGTGCTATATGGCCTGAAGCAGTACAGCAACTACTTTAATAGTCTATGCAGTGAAAAATCAGGTTTCGTACTATCTGGCCTCAATTCTCCTGTTTTGCAGTAATCTTTGAAGTTATAGAGGGGGCATGATTTGCTTCTTGTTTTGTTCTTGTTCTTTATTTCCAAATTACGATCTGCGAAAGGTTGAAGGACAGCTAGCTATTTCGTTGAATTTCTTGAGTTTATTGTATTCATCGATTTGAATACCAGGAGCCAAACCACAATCAAAGCGGAAAGGGATTGGAACAAAAAGGAGTGGATAATTTGAAGGGAGCTGCATGGGTACATTGGTCAAGGAGGCTGCGTTTATTGGAGCGTCTCAACACTGCAGAAAAGGAGACAACGCTGCATAGTTCGCAGCATTGAGATGATGCCGTGAGGAGGTGTGCATTGAGGGTGTTCGTGTCCGTGGCGTTGAGACGCTATGGATCGCATCTTTGTGCTGCGATGTAGATTGTTATAAAACATTTGTTTTGCTTAGGATTTTTACAAGCCGTGGGATTATTTTCTTAGCTGAAATTATTATAGTTTTTGTGGCATTTGAGGCAGAAGCTCGAGGGTGTTGGTAGCGAAGGGGTAGATTGAGATTACCTTATTTGGGGTAATTAGTTCTCAATTATCTTTGTGAGTTATTTCATTCATGTATTAAGTATAGTGTTTAGAATACTTAGAATGGTTTTTGTTCAGACTTAGAGGGTGAATATGTAAGAGAGATATATTTGAGTGCTTGTATTCAAATTTCATATAGTGGAACCCGTACCTGAGTGGAAGGGAAAACTTGATGTAACAATTATTGGATGAACAAGTATAAATTTGTTTGTGTCTTTCTCTTAATTTCTCATATATTGTTGTGTGATTGATAGATAAGTATGGAAGGGAAAATTGGCTCCCAACATCAGCCTTGGTATTTTTGGCATAAATCAATTCTTTAGAACAATCTGATTTTATTAGGGATAAAACTTGACTCCTCACTCGTAAGGATACCACCATTAAATATTTGACAATTAAGAGATAATGAAAAACAAAATTTTATTTTAAAATATAATGAGTTTTTAAATAATCAATTATGGTAAGGACAAGGTTACTCCTTACTAGTGAGGAAGTCAAGTTTTATCCTTTTATTAGGGTACTGCGATTTATATAAAATCTACTGCCATCTTTCCATTATCCAAAAACTAGGTATAAACATCTATATTGGAATTAGGGATCTTGCGGGTCCTGTACAACTGGTGCTCTAGAAGGTGCCAATTTTCTTTCAAAAGGCGAACTTGTTAGCATAAGCGAACAGCAGCCGGTAGATTGCGATCACGAGGTTTGTTTCTCGTTCACTGTTACAAATAGCTATCTATGTAGGGTTAGTTTAGTGACATTTTCATTTCTTGTTTCTCGTTTCCAATTTTCTTAAGAAATTTAATATTTTACAACTAACTATATTTCTTGTTTATCATTTTTTGGGAACATTGTCAAAATTATATAGAAATTTTGAAAATGACCAAAAACAAGTTTGTGATTCACTCCTTTGAATTTTCTCCACGCTTCATTGTTGTCTTAGGTTTTAGTTGAATTTTCTGATGGTTGTTGCTGATCATTTTTAAAAAATTTCATATGGCGTTTGCAAGAAGTTATAAGCAAGCTCGAATCGCTGACATCCACCACAGAGTAAACCACTATCCCTCAGGTCCCTGACTAATTCTAATGGTTGCTGTTAAATTTGCCTTCATTATTTGTCTCTTGCCCTAAGCTTTCTAGACGATCCTATATGGTCAAATATCTAGCGACAAACTCCTATATATCTTCAGTTTAGTACCGATTTTTATAGTATTGTTCGAGGAGTCGATAAGCTAATTCTTGTCGACGTGTATTTGCCAAGTTGTCAACCTAAACCATAAATCCATTTTACTTTTTTTATTTCTGAAGTAACTATAATCAACTATTCAATCCACTTTTATTCTCTCTCTTAACTAATTTGTTCCAAGTCTAAAAATCTAAAAAAAAAATGAAGGGAAAGGGATTAGTTGAACCCTTATTTAAAAAATAAATCTAGATATTTGATTGTTTTTCTAATCTTCTTCAAATAGGAAATCATAGAATCATAGAAAAATATATAGAAGGAGATTTCCAACGACACTATTCTGCATTTCTAAATTCTGCCTATATATCCTCTGGTTTGTGCAATGTGATCTAGAGGAAGCTAGTTCCTGGTTGCAGCCTGATTAATAGTGCATTTTAATATACATTCAGAGTCGGAGGTCTGATTGTTGATTAAAATGAAAGTAATAAAAATAACGTGGAAACAATAGTAAAATTTTCAATGTTTGATGAACAATGAGCAAATATGAAATGTGAGAGAGTATAATTCAATAGAAAGAAAAATCAACTTCTAATTGAAGTGATAAAGTTGTGAATAAACAAATGAAAATACAAATATCGATGGAGGATTATCCCTGTACTGGAACTGATCAAGGACCAAGATTGCTGCATCAGTTGCCAATTTCAGCATCGTTTAACTTTATGAGAATCAAACTGCTGCAAATCTGGTAAAAGATGGCCCACTTGCAAGTAACTAACTTCATATGTTCTTTGATGAAAATTCCAATGTCCTTTAGCTTCTAATACGGGTCACTTTGTTTTACCTCAATTGCAGTTGCCATCAATGCAGTGTTCATGCAGACATATATAGGTTGGAGTATCTTGTCCATCCACATATGTTCAGAGCGATTGGATCATGGAGTGTTGTCGGTGGATTATCTAGTTCTGAGCTTAGAGGAGCGTAGACTACCCCTACATAGCCTCACTCACATGCTTCGCAACTAGGAGGTCACCCAGTCGAAGATGTTTGACTTTGGAGTTATTACGATTGAGTTATCGAAAAGGAAGGTACACCTTATTGGTATTGATAGTAACTATCAATTCTTTAAGCATTTTCTTAACCATGCTTCATGGTCTCAAGATCCCTCTCATTCGGACGTGGTATCAGTTCATTCATATATCCCTACTCTCTCTAGTCGAGTGTCACATCGGTAGATGGGATCTCTCTAAGCTCTCAAGCTTGGATTTGTTACTGTTCTTCTGTTGTGTTGGAAAAATATGTCTAGAAGCCAAATGTAACAGCAAATATGATGTTGAGAATAGGGATCTTCAGGAGATCTTTTATTTATTTTTTTGATGGGATCGAAAGGTTGTTGGAGGTATATGCCAATTGTCGCYGAGCTATACTCGCTTTGGCTTCTGAAAATCTTTTATTGCCATCAAAATTTGGGTTCTTGGAATAGCTTTGTAGCAGCAGAATTGTAAGGAATCTGGAATAATATACTGGACTTGGTTTCCACATTTTTGTTGGGTTATTGATAACTAGTGTTAGAAATCTTATGGTTTATTTCTTCTTTAACTGTGCCTCTTTTTAGGTAGTTTTTTTTTTTTTAATCTTTTGTTAGAGATAGGTGTCAGCTTGAGCTATGTTCGGTCTGGCTCTCTTTAAGTAGTTTTGATTTTCATTTTCAATGTTTGTAAATTAGTGAAATTATAATGTAAACAGAATTATGATGTCTATTTTTTCAAATAATATATGTTTTCTTTTTGTGTGGGCCACTTTTTTAAGAAAAAGTATTTAGGTGCTGACGAGAACCGCTTATTTTTCAGTGATGGTCAACTAAGTTCTCATCAGTCAAAACCTAAGTATTTTTCATTTTAAAAAATTTTACTTACATTTCTAAAAGGAGGTGGGTTTGTTCAACTAAATTAGGATGTTGCTAAATCTAGCTTAATTTAATTAAATGTTAAAAAGATTAGTAGATAAAATAAATAATTGCAAATATTGCAAAATCTGAATACATTTATATAAATCAAATTAATAAGCGATGTATTACTTAAAATAAAAACATGCTCATTAGTATTATTTTAGTTAAAATTGGCTAGATTTGCAGAAAAAAAATTATTTGCAATAAATTTCATTTTTTTTAAATAATCTATTTAATATTGCTTTTATTTTAATAAAAAAACTAATAATTAAAAGTTCCTAAATAAAAAGCACTAATATATATTTGTATACTTTCAATTTTATATTGAGTTTGTTAAGAATAAATATATAAATTGTAGGAATGTAAAATGAAATAAACAAAATTACAAATACTAGTTTATGGTTATACATACTATGGTCATTTAATTTTCGAAAAAATAGTTGTCAATTGTCATAGACATTTTAAAAATATAAAAATCAAAATAAAACAAACTAAAAAATTTAGAGATTAAGACATTTTAAAAATCTAACAGCCAAAATGAAATAAGTCTAAGGATCTAAGAACTGAAATGAAATTTAAACCCCACCTCAGACATAAAAATCCGAAATTAGGTTCAAAATAAAATAATTGATTCTCAAACTCTTGAAAAACATTCATTTTACTCTATATAATTTCAATTTTCGTTTATCGTTTATTTTAATTCTTCTATTTCCAAACGTCTATCTTGGTCTTTACACTTTTGTAAAAAAAATTAACACAATTTTTATATAGAAGGAAAACACTTTAATCCATTATCTAGAAAGAAAAAGGGGAAAAAGAAGACTAATTCAAATTTATGACTAAATTTAGTGTCATTCCAAGATTTTAAAAATTACAACGACCAAAATAAACATTTTGAAACTACAGAGACCAAAAGTTAAAAATAGATGGACGCACATAGACCCGAGTGAACCAAAACCGAATGTTCAAGGACCGAGACAAAAATTGTCCTCCATCCTTCATAAATCTACCCATCAAATAAAACTAGCATCTAAGCATAGAAAAGCAGCAACTTTTTAAAATAAATATTCCCACACATAAATATATATAGATATATAGAGAGACGACTCAGTATCCTTGTTTATTACATTCGGTCATCAGTTTTACCAGTTACAAAGGGCAGTGGCTCATCCAAAAACCCCAATTATTTTCCCTTCGCAGCACAAGGAAATGAAAAACAAGTGCTAATGGCCGAAACCTCAGGCACTCCTCAACAAGGACAATGGCAATGGCAATTGCCTTCAACCATATTTTAAATTAAAGAATCAATACAAACCACTTCTTCTGTGCACAAACCAGAACAGACCTCTCATGGCTCCATCTTGAAGATTATTCGTCATCTTCGTCGAGCAATGCAAACGAGAAAGGATGGAATTTGTACCCGTCTCCCTCGTAGAACTTGTTTTGGAACTCGACCCAATGAAGACGCAACGCATGAAGGAAGGCACTTAGAGTCTCCATCAGTAGCAACACACCAACGGTAGCGAAAATGAAAACAATCCCGCCCACTATTAAGATTAGTATGTTGTTGTACCTGAAAGGCAGTGAAATCTTTTGTTACTGTTTAGTTCAACCATTGTGATTACTATTCACTACCGCCAACTTTAGGGGATTATAGAGAATGGTCTAAAAGCACACAGGTGCATAATGTGGGTGACCACGACATTAGGTCAGTTATCTATATGCTTGTAGTTTATAATTCCGAACAAACAACTTAAGGGAACAGAAGGTAACATGAAGAAGAGTTACGTACCCCGCAGATAGAACGAGAACCTTCTCATAGAACACGCTGGACAACTCTGAGTGAGCAAGACTGGATAACAAAATAAATTGTCAAACTAGTTATTTGCATTGTCGTTACTTCAAAAAGAACATGTCATTAAGATACTGCTAGTACTCCGCACTGTTCATACATAACAAATTTCAACATACAACAAATTTCATTCACAATTTCATATGGCAATGCCAGGTTAAATAAAACGAAAAAAAGAAAGTACCATTTAAATTCACCTTTCTAAATTGTGAACTCTATAATCGATAAAGAGTGGCAATGCCAAACACAACCAAGAAACTGACAATGGACACCACTTGATGTACATACCTTAAAGCCCATAGACGAAGATAGGAAGCTGTATTTGATACCGCTCCAAGCACAAATTCAATGGTATGTATAAGTTGATGCACAAAAACTTCACCGAACTCAAACTCCTCATGACCGTGTGAATCATGATGCGACTCCAACTCAAGGGAATCGTCAGCACTTGGAAGTGGTGCATAAGACTGGCCTTGGAACCTCTGAAAGAAACATGATTGTCAGACCGGAATCTAGTCAAACGTAAGCCTCCCCAAGAGAACACACATAAAGAAACAGACAAACACGGTTGCGCCTACACACAGAAAATAAGAGAACTCAAAGCAGACCTGTTCGTGCTGTTTCTTCAAAAGAAAAGGCTTTGGAAGCAGCATCCATGGTACAGCAACAAGGGCCAGTAAGAGCAGCACAATCTGCACATAGGAGGGAAAAATATGCGTATCAGGAAAATAAATCCAAGAGTTAAATAGGAACATTAATATAAGTAGAAGGGAGATACCTGAACATTTTTCTGCCCGGCAAAAAGCTGATTTTCACCCAGATCGTCTGTGGGGCTCAGGAACATGTATATCATTACGTGGTACAGATCAGCTTTTGAACCAGTGCACCATTTTAGGATGATAAGAAGGGAAAGATAACCGAAAAGGCTGTTCAGAAATATCATCTGTGGCAGGAATTGGAACCTGAAAATTGTACACGAGTCAACAATACAAAGCAGATGGTTTATTACAACAATTATTACCTACAATATTACGAAGAGCAGTGATTCACCCATAATAAAAATCTTGAACGGTGAAAACTAAGGAATAACATGGAAGTAATGATAGAAGAATAAAAATGGCATAGAACTCACCAGATATTGATACTATTCCGAAAAAATGTAGCATTGAAATAGCTTATTATGATTCCAAGGTTCATTTGTGCAACTCCAAGGAGGATCGACATTTTCATTTTCAGAGAGTTAAGAAATGGAAGCTCGCTTCGAGTACCATGCCATACAGGATCCAAGCCAAATGGATATGTAGAACCCACCTTTATCAACCCCGCAGTAGCAGCATCACTACAGTGATGGAGATTATAGCAGTAACCATCATTACCAAGTCACAGAGCATGAATTACAGAAAAATGTGGATAAAGTACGTAAAAGGTTACACTGGCATACCTGCAATCAGGACTACGACATGCATATGCTGAGTGACCAAACAGTCCAAATGGGACTGAGAAGAACTCATTATAGATCAGACCTGTGTATATTGAAAAAAGTGACATCATCAAAATGACGTAGCGTCCACCAAAGGCCATTTCAGTGATATCTCCAAGCTTCTGAAATTTTAAAGGAAAACATAGTTAGATTTCATTTTCACCAGACTCACTCCAACTAACAACTTTTCTTGAAGAAAAATATCCAAATATAAAAGATTCCTTGGCAAGCAAGAATGCTTCCTATATTTTGGATATTTAGTAGGAATGTAACAAAAAAAAATTTGAGAAGCCTTATAATGACTAGGAGGGAAAGAATTTCAATTCAGTTTAACACTTTGCTTTGACCTTCACTTCTTCAATGTTTAAAAGTATTCTTTCAGTTTTTTATTATTGATGATTGGGGATATTTGGTTGTTGTTCTTACATAGCTCTGTTGTATATTTTCCTTATATTCAAATCATTATTCGGGTGATCGTGGTATATATGTCAATGGGATGATCCAATGAAATTAAATACGGGGCTCAGCTAACATCTAAATTTCTTACTTGAAACTATAATTGGTGCAAGAGCTTCTACCTCATCTAACCATAAAATAATAATATTCACAATATAGTCATTCCAAAAGAGGATTTAAGACTATTTATTCAAAATATGACCATTTCTAAGAACTCGGTCATCCACAGTTTTAGAGGCTGTCGTGCTAAGAATATCTGTTCCTTTTCATCCATCAATGAAAAGTTCGTATCTTGTTATAAAATAAAAAAATAAAATAAAAAATCTTAATGAACTCCACGAGTCGGGCAATAAGCATAAGTTACATGTTCATTACCAAGCTGGTTAAGAATTATCAGGAATCGATAGAGAAGACACGTCACGTAATTTTAAAGTGAAGCTACCTTAAAAATTTAATAGAATCATTTCGATCGGTATAAGTTACATGTTCATTACCAAGCTGGTTAAGAATTATCAGGAATTGATAGAGAAGACACATCACGTAATTTTAAAGTGAAGCTACCTTAAAAATTTAATAGAATCATTTCGATCGGTAAATATAACATCATATTATTCTGAGAAACTTCTGTATTAAATTAGTAATAAGTTATAAGAAATTACCTGAGAAGAAAGTTTTTTTTCCCGTAATATAAAATACAGTGTTGCAAGTAACAGACATATTCCATGCCCCCAATCACCAAACATAACAGCAAATAGAAATGGAAACGTGACAATGGTGTATACACCAGGATTGGCTTCTTGATACTTTGCCACCCTGTAATTACATTGTAGATTAAGTTCAGTCGTATTTCTGCCAATAACATGATGACCAAGATATATTTAAACTAGAAAGATCTGCCAGAGAAAGCACTGATACAATAAGAAATTAACGAAGTTCTCAACCTTTTCCTACCTAATTATAAAATACTACTTAGGAGAATGAGAACTAGTATATTCCAAAATAGAGCATGATCTAGCTAGAAATATTTTTTTTTATAGGAAACAGTAAACATAAATTCATATCAAAAGATCTCAAAAAGGGCGAGAATAGCCTAAAGACGAAGGGTGGAGAGAACCCCCCCCCTAAGGATCTATACAATCGTAGCTTTCCAATTTTTTCTTTTTTTATATTCGTGTGTCCGGACCAACTTACGCGCACCTCGACTATTCACGGGCCAACCGCCTGACCCTACTATATTTGGTTGACAAGAAAACTCGTAGGATATTAAATTCTAGGTAGGTGGCCACCATGGTTTGAACCTATTCCCTCTAAGTCCTTTGCTATTTACATGGGCCCTGATTGACTACTTGGGTCATCCCATGATGGTTCATAGCTTTCCAATCTTGTAAGATCAAAAAAATACTGTAGTTACAAAAGACCTTCTTATGAATTGATGCCCACCAAGAAGTTGTATGCTTAATATTCACACAAAAAGAATCTAAAGCGACTCATTCCTCTCTCTCGAAAGGAGCCAAAGGAGGGCCCTCGCCGCACAATTCCATGGGACTGAAGCTTTCCCTTTAAGCGTTGAACCTCCAAAACCTTCAGCTATAAAATCATCTATCTTTTTGGGAGACAAAAGGTGAAATCCATAAGGGAAGCCACAAAGTTCCATGCCCGGGTGGCAAAAGAACAATGTAAAAAAATGTGATCCACCGATTCTAAATCTTTTAGGCATAGAACACAAGCCGAAGGAGAGAGAGCCCAATGTGGGAGCTTTCTCTGGATTCTCTCGGCCATATTTGTGCCCCTATAGAAAAGAGTCCATAGGAAGAATTTCACCTTTTTCGGAACCCTGAAATTCCAAATTATAGAAGTTGTGACCGTGCTCAGTTTAGGGGAAGGAGATGTCAGAGCTATATATGCTGATTTTGCTGAAAATATCCCCTTTCTGTCTGCCTTCCACTATAAGCAATCCCTACCTTGACTAAAGACAGCCCACTTGTCAACCTCCCTATCAAAGAGGTTCCTTCTCAACCCAATGTCCCAAGTTGAATCCTCCAGAACCCAACAAGCAGCCACTGATTGGTTCTTTTTGGAAGAGAGGACGTACAAATCAGGGAAATATGAGGAAATGGGGGATGAATCAATCCACCTATCCTCCCAAAATCTCACCGAATCGCCCATGGACACTTTAAAAAAGGAGAGCTTGGTGAAGTCCGAGAGGGAGAGGGACCTTTTTTTAATAAGAATGGGAAGATACTATCAAGTTAATGTTTCAAGTACTCTTCAAAATGATAATAATTATAAATTTCTCAACAGGCAGTGGAACTATGGCAAAAGTAAGCTCAGGTTCCCTTCTTCATGGCCTCTAAAGTAATTATCATTTTGTAGAAGAATGAGAAAGTTTTCTTTCTTTTTATATCCGTGAGTTTCCGCACCAGCTTACGCGCACCTCAACTAATCTCACGGGACAACTGTCTAACCCTACTACATTTGGTTGTCAAAGTAACTCGTAGGATATTAAATCCTAGGTAGGTAGCCCCCATGGTTTGAACCCATTCCCTCTAAACGCCCTTTACTATTTACATTGGCCCTTATTGACCACTAGACGGAGAAGAAGAAAAAAAAAAGTGAAAACCAAATATGGAAAGTGGAATCCTCTTAATTGTTGACTTTAATCTAGCAAGAGAAAATGACTAACATGAACAGTAAGTACAAAGATTTCTTTATTATCACTATTTCATATAGTAGGGCATATTACCGTTAATAGTTTCGAATTCCATAACATTCCACCACTATGGAACAATCAGAAAACACATCGTCCATTATTTGTTATAGAGTAAATATGAAATCAGACTAACTTACCCATATGCATCCACAATGTCTTGAAAAGCAGTGGAGAATTTGTTTGTCCGAAAATAAGTAGGTGGTGCTTCTGTAGTTAACAAAACCTGGAAAATTGGTCCAACCTGGGAGTTGGAATCAGTTGCTGCCCGCTGGAGTGCATCTTGAATCTGAAAATTCAAGTTTGGTGTCACAAGTATTCAATTCTAGTAGCAAAAAGTTCGGCTGTTATTTATATTGCTCAGACAACAAATAAATAGGCAGAAGAATTACCTGCTTTGTTCCAAAAACAGGACCCCACCCCTCAGCCACCAGACACTTTTTGGTTACGTCAAGGCTAAGCATGTTCAAGATATGGTATATAGATTTTTCCTTCCTCACCTTCAGAGTTCAAAAGGTAATGTAAGGTAATTAGAACAGCACAACAAGCAGCAAATAAAAATTCTGCATCCACATTAAAACCGGAATTTTAAAAATGTGAATAAAAGGTTCTAAAAGTAGTTTATAACAGACCAGAAGATTCCAATTTTCAAAATGTTCTCCAATAGTCCGCAACAGATTACCCCGGTGTAGCAGCCCTACATCTATTGTAGTCTTCATCTCAGACAGTCTTCCAGATGCCTATGTTCATGGTAGTTACATAAGTTAGAATGCAAAATATTGAAATAGAACTTCAGCAGGAACCTGACAATGATAATGAGAAAGGCAAAAACACAAATAAGCCTTGGAAAATAAATTTTGTGGGATTCAGATTTCAACGGTTATATTAACGTTAAGAGGCAGTTGCCAAAGTGCAAGTTTGAACCACAACCTCAGACAACATCAGCAAGTTACAATGTGCTGCCTCAAGAATCTGATTGCACAGTGTGAAGAACCATTCTTTATTTTGGGAGCGTATGATAAATAAAATAACATGAGCATTAGTTAAAGTATTAATAAAATTTCTCGTAGTTTAACGTCGACTATTTGAATCTCCACCAATGGTTGTAAAGTTAAATTTCAAATATAAATAAAATACACGCGAGCTCTATCAAGCAAAATAAATTTTTCCTTTTCCCCTTACAAATTTGAGAGGCTTCAATGCTTCCTGATTAAATTTTTAAATAGAAATAACAATAGGTATGCCGTATAAGTATAGCCTATTACAAATCCCAATAAAGTCCTACCAATGCTCTCCCCCTCTGCCTGCCAATTCCCTTCACTCACCACGTACTCTTCATGGATCCACTCCCTTCACTTCTCTCCTTCCTCTCATCTCTTTTCTCTTTGAAGAGATGGTTGATAAAGGCTAGAACTACAATGCTCGTTCAGTTGTTCATGAAGTCAACAATGCTTATAGGGGCACTGAAGTGGGTAGAGATAACTCCTCCCTCTCTATACAATGGACCAGCCTCTCATGTGAAATCTTGGATTAAAAGACTCAAACCAACCACCCCCCGTGTGGAAGGAAAGAGAACTTATTCATATGGTGAGAAGTTACCTACAGAAACCTATTGCTTAATAGGAGCTTGCAAAAAAGGCTCCCCAATTGAAAATTGAAAGAATTACACAAGGAACACCACAAAAAATCCGATCATTTCTTTTCAGCCAAATTCCCCAAGTCACTGCCTTAATCACATTTAACCATAAGATTTTACCCTCCCTCTAGATCTGGGACCAGAAAGCATCCAAATAATGTTGCAAAGTGCAAGAGTCCAAGAAACTTGGAAGATTTGCAGGAGGGAATTCCAACATCTTCTGCTCAAAGAGCAATGAGAAAACAAATGTCCCACATTTTTCCCTGCATTTTCACATAACATAAACCAGGACAGTGACCAGTCCAAATTAGGGCATATGGTTCTCTCACATGTGTTCAAGCCTTCATGACACAAAGTTATGGAGGATGGATTCGCATTTGTGACACCTAGATTGCTTATTACATCCATGTTATAATTCCTGCAGATAATTTTGTTGTCTAATTCAAAAGTTTCTCTAAATACAAAAACCTCAAATTCTGCACCAGCAAGCAAATAAATGTTCTGACATTGGGTGCCAAAACTTCACAATGAAAATGCTCCAATGGTACAACAACGTTTCCAATCATGAAATAGCATGGGAAAGTCATAGCAACATAGATATTCAAATCATGCTGAACAGGATACACATGAAATTGTGGAGGAAGATAAAAAATAATAATAATAAATAAATAAAGTGGCCAAAGCCAAGCAATATTATGCTCTAACTTCGGAATTGATCCCAATCACATTAGAATATAAAAGTTTCACACACACAATTTATTAAGCTCTTCAAGCTAACAGGAGAGAGTATAATCATCTTCTAAATCAACACCACACCTCAGGCAACAGAAAGACAAAGTCAAGAAATTAGTAAGAAAATCCAAGCTTTGTAGCAAACAGGAATAAGTTTAAATTCATAGGCTCCCATAACATTCCATTAGATGAGCTAACTCAATCCAAGAAGCAGAAGATTCAATACCTCGGCAATCATTTGGGCTTGTTTCCCCAAGTCCTCATTAAAAGGGTAACGATTTGCTCCAAATGCCTCACATATTTTTAGAATTTTATTCTTCGCTCTTTCTCCAGAGTAGAAAACAACAAACACGTTTTTCTCAATCTGTAAAACATCCACATTTGACAAAAAAAAGTAAGATATAATCAAAGTTGACAGATTAAGTTTCACGCACCAATTAACATCACGAGTAGCAATTATTTACTAAAAAAACGTAACAATCCTAGTGCAAACGGATTTTAAGAGATTCTCACTAACTGATATCAAAATCAATTTTAAGATGCCAAAGAAGAAGAAACTCATTGAAACAACTCAAGCTGGGGAGGTTTAGAAGAAATTGAAGAAATCTTTTGGGGGTAGAAAGCAGATTATCCCAAAAGAGAAGCGTGTCACCAAATGTCAAATGACTTCAACAGGTTCAAGCTTGTGTTGGCAAGACTAAGAGGGCTGGCTTGGCTAGGCAAGAGTTTGCCAGGATGAAGAAGACTGAATCCTAAAAATTCAATTTTTTAATGGATTTCCCATCTTCACTAGGTTGTTGATTTTGTTACAAGTTCATTCCAAAGTTGGGTGCTCTCCCCTTCAGTTTGCTCCTTGTGCTACAATGACTGTGAATCCTCTGACCACATCTTCTTGCATTGTAATTTCGCTCAAAAAGTGTGGGGTTTCATTTTGAATGAGTGATTTGTACTGGAGCGCATTGACTACTGGCTTTCCAAGAGTCTTGGAGGGGCCTTCCTAAGGAAACGCTAGAATTTTGTGGAGTAGTGCGGTTCATGCTACCTTTGGCTTATTTGGAAGGAGTGTAACAAATGGATTTTCGAGGATATGACAACTTCAGTAGATTCTTTTTGTAATCTTGTACAACCTACAACTTCTGGATGGTGCTCAAACCACAAGAAATTCTTTTATAATTATACCTCCTCGTGATTATAAATTATTGTAAGAGATTGCTTGTGTAGCCCCTTGGGAGAGAGTTCCCTCTACCCTTGCCCATTGTCACCCTTCTGTCGTAACACATATTTTCCCATTTCTCATTAAAAAAACATATAGCAGGCTTACTACTCTTGCCTTATTCTTTGTGTTATCATGTCCTGTTTTAAATCTTATTATGCTGACTTCTCATCTGGATATCAACTTTACTGCCCTCTACTCAATCGCCTTAATTTGGATTTAAGACCACAATAAAAATTAAAATAACTAAAAGAGGTAGAACAAGTATTTAACAACATTAACAAATACAATTTATCAGTAGGCTTTTTCACGGCTTACACTCCAAGTATAAAGATAAACAGACGTGACAAGTTATATAGGATGTATTTTATTTAATGAACAAAAAATACAGGTAACGAATTATAAGTAGCATGTAAACGTTACAATAAAAAATCAGTAAAAAATTACAATGTGTTGTTTCAACAATTTACCTTCTCTCCAGAAATAGGATCTGCAACCGGATCCTCAACTACAGCCTGCTTCAGAAACACATTACCCCTGGTGGCACGAAATAGTATCCTCTCAAATGCCATAGATTTTTCCCGAGGCACAAGGCCAGAGATAAATCCCAAATTAATCGGCTTTGACTGATCCACAGATGATTCCTTCATCACAAAGCAAATGGAATTAAACCATGTAAAAATCGAAGATTGTTTAAACTTGGAAAGAAAATGTCAAGATTGTACTTGTTCCAACAATAAAGGAACTTCTATTGAATCTCCACCAACTCGTTGTGATTCAAATTCTCTTTGCTGCTCAAGGGCACTGCTTTGCGCTGCACTGAAAAACTCACCAGCCTGACACAAAAGGGAATTTCATAACAATCAAATAGGTCGGACATAAAAATGACAAACTTAATGAGATTGAATACCACTAAGTAAAATTAAGTGAACCAAGAAACATGCAATCTAAATACTATTCAATCATAAATCTGTACAAATATGCCAAACACAAACTAAAAAGTCTAGTAATTGAAAACAAGTACGCTGTACACCTGTGGAACAGATCCCTATCAGAGCAAATGGTGCATACGATGTATTTTTCAGGTGTTCAATAAGTCTTGTACCTTTTTTTTCTTTTTGGGAGGACACTAAACAGTTCTGTTACTTTTTCAAACACCTTTTATTGCTCTAGGAACCAATGAAATCTAATTTATTACCGTCATCTTCCAACATCACTTCTCATGTCTCAAACTTTCCAACATTATGACCATGAATAACATACCTGAAGGAGCTGGCTAAGATAAACATTTCCTTGCATCAAATGATTTGAAGTGAAACACCGGTAACTTCTCTAGGTTAAAGTTCAAAAGGATTTACCTTATGCATAACAAGCTTATACTCCACAAGTTCATTGTAGGAACGCTGTAGCTTCTCACTATTGGCATTTATTTCAACCAGTTCTGCCTCAAGCTCACCAAGTTTGACCTATAAATATAATGCGATCAAAAGAAAATGGTCAAGACATGAAGCACCAGAACCACTTTGGCTGGTTACAAATTGTTAAATACCTCAAGGTCGTCTACACTGATATCAATTTGTGGAACGGAGCTTTTGCTTGACAATCCAGTCTTCGACATCTGCTCCTTGAAAAAATGCAATTTGCGTGCCATCTCTCCACATCTTTTAATCTTGTTAAAACCAAGAATAAGAAAGGTAAGTTCAACAGAGGAAGAGAATGGCACATCTTTTAATCTTGTTAAAACCAAGAATAAGAAAGGTAAGTTCAACAGAGGAAGAGAAATGCAAACCTAATGTAAGTGACAAGTAAACAAATTATACTACTCAATTCTCATACCATTCAAAAGATCCATTTATAATGAGGCAGAGTTAGCGAAGTTTTCACTGTGAAAATTTATTGGAAACATTCATAATCAAATAATCTTTCCTATTACAACTTTGAACTTATCAGCCTCGTAACCAAACGGAAATCCAGTCTCCATCAAAAATGGATGGCAAATCCCCAAACAACCCCTGAAGCTACATATTCCAATAATGCATGAAAACTGAGTTAAGCAGAGGTGGCAGAAATACAAACCTATCTTACCATTACAAAATATCAGAACGTGTTACACTCATTAAATCCACTTCGGTATAAAAGCTAGACTAATTCTGGATCACTATTCA